TCAAAGGGTTCGGGGAGAATTGCTTTGAGGGTTAGTGTTGGGGAAACACTGGTTTCGAGTTGCTGGGGAAGCAATTCGGGTTTGAGAAAAGAGTGTTAGATCAATCGGGTAGGGATTGATCAAAGGGTAGATAGTTTGTAACGAAGAACTTCAACGCAAAATCATAGTGAATCGTCGGAGATCACACAATCGTGATTCTCTGACCGTGGAGTAGTCGGTATTGGGATCCTCATTCTCCCAATACTGGAAACCACGTAAAAAATCGTGAGCAGTGTTTGTTTTCTGTTTTTAAGTTTCCAGTATGTGTCCTTCTGTTTGTTTTCTGTTCCAGGGTTAAGTGAGCAAGGGAGTCGGCTCTCGAGTCCTCATGGAAGGCTACGTACCAGGACTGGATTTGGGAACTCACTAAACCAGGCTTTGATTTAACTGAGTTGATTATTGGCTGGGTTTTATTGAAGTGTTCTTGCTGTTCTTCTCCTGTTCATCTCACGAACAGAAGGAGGATTTAATTTGATCGAAATCCTAGGAGCGGGAAGGGAATTTTAGTGTAGTTGATACTCCGTCGTTTTATGCTCATCATCTTGAAGTGGAGTTGGGACAAGGATTCGCTTGGGCTGGGATTGCTTTTGGGTTCGTTCATTTAATCTGCCTAACCGAAAGCTACTGGGCTTAGAAGCCCAACCGAGTGAAAAGAGAGGTTTTGCATATATTGTGTAGCTGGGCTTAGAATCCTGATATGCTTTCATTGCTAGGCTTAATTGAGTGGGCTTTGAGTTTTATTAAAGTTAAGTGTAGATTTAAACGAGGGACTTCACTAGGGTGGTTAACTAGTGAGTAGAGTTTAGACCAAGGATTAGCTAGCTGTCACATTAAATTAAATTAATCTTAAGTTAGTCATTTAAATTCAATTGAGTAAAATAATATAATTGAGATCATTTGTGGTTAAGTTGTTGAAATACAGGTATAAAGTCTCGCGCTCGACGCAACCAACACGTGGTATCAGAGCACGGTCACCGTAGAACAAGGTTCAATGACCTCCGGTGCTAATCGAAATGGCGTCGGGTTCCAAGAATAATGCTCCACTCTATTTGGCTGATGGATTCTCCCAAAATCGGCCTCCCAGATTTGAAGGAGTTAATTATGGATATTGGAAAAATAGCATGGAATTATTTGTTGGATCTACAGATCCAAAACTCTGGGATAGAGTCATTAAGTGTCCGTATGAGCTCAAGGAGGATCAAGAAAAATGGACAGACGAGGACTTCGAGAAATTTCAGCAAAACTGCAAGGCAACTAATCTTATGTACTGCACTCTCGGTCCAGAAGAATATCACAAAGTCGCTGGTTTCAAGACTGCTAAGGAAATCTGGGATAAACTCCAGGTTACTTATGAAGGTACCTCTAAAGTCAAAACTTCTCGAATTAATTCCTTAAAACAGCAATTCGAGTTGTTCAAAATGGAAGAAGGAGAAACGATCCGGCAAATGTACGAGCGTTTCACAAACATTGTGAACAGTCTGGAGAATCTTGGGAAATCATATGAAAGTGGAGATCTTGTTCGAAAAATCTTATGGAGTCTCCCAGAGCAATGGACTCCAAAGGTAACTGCAATAGAGGAAGCTAAAGATCTAGAGAAGTTAGCTATAGATGAACTCATCGGGTCATTAGCAACTCATGAAGACAAGCTCAACAAGGGAAATAATGATAAAGGGAAAAAGGGGATAGCCTTCAAGGCTACCACATACAATGAAGACACAGAAGATCTAGATGATATGGAGGATGAAGAATTGGCTCTACTAAGCAAACAAATCAGTAGACTACTTCGAGTAAGAAGAGAAAAACGAAGAGGAAACTTCATCAACAAGAATAGAGAAGTTGAGAAAGAAGGTGGTACATCAAAATACCCTCAATCAAGAACTTTCCACAAAAGCAGGATTGAACAACTTCAGCCGGTTAAAGTTCAAAACACTACCGGTTGCTTTATATGTGGAAAAACTGGGCATACAAGGCTGAATGTCCCCTAGCAAGAAAAGAACGAGCCATGGCTGCAACATGGAGCTGTAGCGAAGAAGAAGATGAGGATGGAGAGGAAACAAGAGAAGAAAGCTACATGGCAATTGATGTTGAAGAGCCATCAGAAGGACATAACTCAAACGAGGTAAAACCTTCCAACCATACTCATTTCAGTGACAGTGATTACTATAGTGATGATGATCTATTTGTAACACCCTACCCTATACGTTTTGCCTAATCATATTGTTCATACAATTGCAGCGGAATTAATCACGGGTGTTACATTAATTATCAAAATTTACCCAAATAAAATTTCGACATGAACTACTCGCGTAATGGGCTAACAGTTCTTGCAACTTATCCTGCAAAATAATTCATCACAAACATATATACTCACAACCATATGCATTGGCTTTTCATAGCCATAGTCACAGTTTCATACTACACAACTGCATACCATACTAATACAAGGCATAATCGTCATAACTTACACAATTACAAAAATATACACATATCATCAACTTTCCACACCTGTGGATATCTCACACTACATTCGAAGCTAGTATGCACATGAAAATGTTCTCAAAACATTTTTACAAAAAGGTGTGGATCACTGGCCAAAATCCCGAGTAGTAGTCCAAGCACAGAATGGTTGAAGACCATACCTCATCTTGCCTTCAACTCTTGCTCAGCTCCCACCTATACACCTATCTACTGCTGCTGCTGATGATCTGCTTACACATAGCATAAGCAGAGAAGAAGAATAAAAGAGGGTCAGCTCATAGCTGAGTAAGATAATCATAGCATCGTGAGTTCATAACATAGCATACCCCTACCATACATCTAGCAAACAAGCCAAAACACTAGGATCGGACCTCAGCCATCCTTATATCCCAATAAGCAAAAGACTCAACCACTTTGACTTATGCATATGCATCTTATCATGTTTTAATCATAGGCGCCTGGCTACTCCCATGCTAATAAATCTCCCAGGAAACATACCCCACATCCCGTCGGATGTAGTCATACATACCCCAACATCCCGTCGGATGTGGTCATACATACCCCACACCACTATGGGTGTAGTCATACCCCGACACCACTCTGGGTGTGGTCATATCTCGTAAGAATTCTTCAGTCACCACCACATGAGAGGTGTGACTATCATACATATCATAATAGAGTAATAGCATAGGGAGCCCTAATTACTATGTAGTTGACCGTGAGACCACAACACTCATATTTGGTATCCTTATACATGATTCATATCTCATCTTGCTTAATCATAATTCATTACTTGCACATGTACTTGACCTGGCCATAATTGGCTCAACATAGGTAAATCAGGAGTCGTATAATTGCAGTTCCTCGGGATAAACCCTCGTGCAAGTCATCCTCCTTAAACATCATAATATCACCATGGAATATATATTTTCCCACTTGTGCATCCAAATACAACAATCATGAAAAATCATACCTAATCACCTTCTCGAACCATCGTAAAGCATATTAATAGTCAAGCCCACAATTTGCAACATATACATAATCATCAGCATAAACAAGGTTCATATCGATTAGGGCAAGTCAATAATATCATACAGCAATCCAGGGTTCAACATATAGCACAAAAGTTCACACACCCCTAATCATGCCATTCTAGTTCACCTAAATCAATTCTAAGCATCAATATAATTATCGTGATACGACAAACCCGGTATGCCGTGCTAATCCCTCACCAGTTTTGGCCGCTCAAACACCGGTTCTAGCCTCCCGTACTAAAACGTCAATTTCACGAACGAACCCCGAATTAAAATCCGAGACCGTCCTAATATCCCCTGCAGTATCCCCGTCAATATTAGTTCTAGGCTCCTGGTCAAATTCTTGGTAAAAACACATCAAACCCTGGCCAGAGCTAAATTCAGCGGTTTGGACCCCGGCCTAAATAATAGCCGAAATTCAGGGATTAGAACTAGAGGATTGATTACCTCGCTGCAGGAAGCTCGTATATGAAATTTGGGCTCAATCCGGCTTCCGGATACTCCGAAACCCTAATTTGCCTTATCGGGAATTCAAGAAATTCCTGAACCAAAATCTCGTTTTAAAGCTCTAAATCGATAAATCACGATGTATAGATGAATTAGGCATTACTTACGGGATTTTTGGATCAGTGTAGCTCAAGAATCGAGCTACGAAATTTTTTCCCCAGAGCTCTGCGTGCGGCTCTGCTTCTCCGTTTCTCTCGACCCAATTTAATGGTACAGGAAGAAGAAATGGAAATAATGGTTAGGGGGAATGTATATATATATGGGGCGCCGCTTATTGTTAAGTTTTTATATTAATTATATATATATATATATATATATATATATATATACTTATCCAATCGATCGATAATCCGATTTTCATCAAAATAGTGTCGAAATGCTCGATTTTAAATTGCGAACTTTCTAACGATCGAAATATGGGTTTTGCCGGAATGGGATGTTACACTATTAGTATCCACTATCAAGGAAATTCCGTTTGAGTTTGGAAATGTCAAAGTAAAATACTCTAAACTGAAATCTGATCATGCCAAAATAAACATTGAATATGATAAACTAAAGAAGGAGGCGATCAGATTAAAAGAAGAGTTAGATGAAACTGCTAAGAAAGTTGAAGTTTTAGAAAATGAGAAATCGAGTCTCACAGCAAGACTTCAAGTATCATTAGAAGGGAATAAGATTGAATCTATGAAAAAGGAAGGTAAATCTTACCTAAATCAGTCCACAAAGGGACATGGTGAAAAATTAGGATCAAATTCATGTAGTAAAGGTAAGTCGAAAATTTTTGGAGAATCAATAAAGCATGAGAGGAATGGAACACAAAAACAAAGATATAGAAACATAGAATGTTTCTATTGTCATAAATTTGGGCACATTAGGCGAGTTTGCAGAAAGAGAACACAAAATGAAAACTATAGAACTTGTTTTACTTGTCATCAAGTCGGTCACATTAGTAGATTCTGTTCTCTTAAAGATCACAAACAAACTGTATCCAAGAAAGTCTGGATACAAAAACCCAAAACTGCATGGCTGCTAATGGCGCAGGTTTGCTTCCAAGTGAGCATGGAGGAAACAGAATGGATACTAGACAGTGGATGCTCACACCACATGACGGGAAATCGAAACCTATTCACCACTCTCAAAGAAGGTAAAGGTGGTAAGGTATTTTTTGGTGACAATAATTCTGCCGACATAATAGGAAGAGGAATAGTTGGTTCAGATCCATGCATTGAAAATGTGATGTTAGTAAAAGGTCTTAAGCATAATCTGTTTTCTATTAGTCAAATTTGTGGCAAAGATAAGAGGATAATCTTTGAACATGATTGTTGCTACATCGAGTCTTTGGTGGATAAGAAAGTGCTTTTCACCGGTAGACGTAAAAATAAGTTATATGTCATAAATCTAGATGATAAAGAGAGTTTTAAGGTAACTTGTATAATGTCTTTAGAGAAAAATGATCAAATAGATTGGCATAGGAAGCTTGGACATGTGAGTATAGGAATTATGTCTAAACTAAGTGATCTTGAGCTAGTTAGAGGTCTGCCTAAGTTAAAAGGCAAAAAGGAATTCTTTTGTGATGCTTATGCTAAAGGAAAGCATACAAGGTCTAGCTTCAAGAGTAAGTCGGTAATATCTACATCGAGACCACTTGAACTACTCCATCTTGATCTCTTTGGACCAACCAATGTGGTAAGCTACGGAGGTAAGTCCTATGCTTTTGTAATTGTAGATGACTACTCTTGTTTCACTTGGGTAATGTTTCTAGCTAGCAAAAGTGAAGCTTTTCAAAATTGTGAGTCTCTAACTAAGAGATTGGAAAATGAAAAACAATCTAAGGTTGCTAGCATTAGAAGTGATCATGGTGGAGAATTCATCTCAGAAGAATTCGAACTCTTCTGCAATAAGCTAGGGATAAGTCACAATTTTTCTGCTCCTCGAACTCCGCAACAAAATGGAGTGGTGGAAAGGAAAAATCGGACTTTGATTGACATAGCTCGAACAATGTTACATGACTATGGTTTACCTAAGTACTTCTGGGCTGAAGCCATAAATACTGCATGCTATATTACTAATCGAGCTTTGATCAGATCTGGAATTAAGAAGACTCCTTATGAGATTTGGAGAGGAAGAAAACCCAATCTGAGTTATTTTCATCCCTTTGGTTGCAAGTGCTTTGCATTAAATACCAAAGATAATCTTGGGAAGTTTGATGCCAAGTTCGATGAATGTGTGTTTTTAGGCTATTCTATGACTAGAAGAGCATATAGAAAATTCAACAAAAGGACTCTCAAAGTGGAAGAGTCCATAAATGTGATATTTGATGAATCTGCTAATGAGTGTTCAGATGAGATAGATGAAGATGACTTTGGACTTGGTGGGAGCTTTGATCTACCAAGGACATCAAACACGGAGAAATCTGAACCCAGAACGAACATATCTGAAGACCAAGATAAAGCAGTAAGTACTACAAACTCTCCGATCGAGCAAGACCATGAAGTAAGACAACCTCCTCCTCATATTTCCAAACTCCATCCTTCTTCACTTATGATAGGAGGGCTTAATGAAGGTATGGTCACTCGCTCTAGAAATTCAATTGTGCATACTGCTTTTGTGTCATTGATTGAACCTAAAAACGTGCAAGATGCCTTGAATGATGAAAATTGGAATGCTGCTATGAATGATGAAATGAGTCAGTTTGAACGAGCTAATGTGTGGGAGTTAGTACCTAGACCCCCTAATAGAGTTATTATCGGGACTAAGTGGATCTACAAGATCAAGTCAAATGAAAATGGGGTAGCTACTAGAAATAGGGCTAGGTTGGTAGCTAAAGGGTATAATCAAGAAGAGGGAATTGATTTCGATGAAACCTTTGCTCCGGTAGCTAGATTAGAGGCTATTAGAATGTTATGTGCGTTTGCTAGCTCTAAGGGTTTCAAACTTTTTCAAATGGACGTCAAAAGTGCCTTTCTAAATGGGGATTTAAAAGAGGAAGTGTATGTGGAACAACCACCCGGTTTTGAAGACTTTAGATACCCAAACCTTGTCTATAAATTAAAGAAGGCACTATATGGACTTAAACAAGCACCAAGAGCATGGTATGAAAAACTTAGTTCTTATCTCTTAAGAGAAGGCTTTAAAAGAGGCTCAGTGGATAAAACTCTCTTTATAAAAAATAAAGGACAACATATGCTACTAGTTCAAATATATGTTGATGACATTATATTTGGATCTTCTAGCAAAGAGTTGTGCGAGTATTTTGAAAGTATCATGAAGAAAACTTTTGAAATGAGTTCCATGGGAGAATTAACATATTTTTAGGTTTGCAAATTAAACGGACAACTCGAGGTATTTTCATTAGTCAAACCAAATACATTCAAAATATGTTAAAACGTTTTGAATTTGGGAATTTAAAAACTGCAAATACACCTATGGCCTCTACAATTAAACTAGACAAGGATGAGTCGGGCAAGTCAGTTGACGAGAAGTTCTATAGAGGAATGATTGGGTCGCTAATGTATCTCACTGCTAGTAGACCCGATATTCAATTCAGTGTGTGTCTATGTGCTAGATTTCAAACTGCCCCTAAGGAAAGTCATCTTACTGCAGTCAAGAGAATCTTTCGTTACTTGGCTGGTACAATGGATCTAGGTCTGTGGTATGATAGTGAGTCAAGTCTTGAGTTAATTGGTTATAGTGACTCAGACTATGCTGGATGCATAGTTGATCGTAAAAGTACTTCCGGGACATGTCAATTTCTAGGAAATTCTCTTGTGTCTTGGTTTAGTAAGAAACAAAGTTCTGTTGCTCTCTCCACCGCTGAGGCTGAATAAGTGGCCGCATGCCTCTGTTGTACTCAACTCCTTTGGATGAAGCATCAACTTTGTGACTACGGGTTAGAAATAAAGTCCATGCCCGTATTGTGTGATAATACGAGTGCCATTAACATGGCAAGAAATCCCGTGCAACATTCTCGAACCAAGCACATAGAAATTAGGTATCATTTCATTCGAGAATTGATTGAAGAAGGCCAAATTCAGCTTGAGTTTGTGCCTACAACAAATCAATGGGCTGATATTTTTACTAAACCTCTAAGTGTTGATCAATTTCTAACCATTCGTCGAGAACTTGGACTAATCATTTCTAGTGAGATTAATGAATTAAAGTAAAATCATCTTGTGTTGAGATTCCAAAAATGAGCTAACTGCTTGAACTTAAAATAAATTTAAACTACTTCTCTTCGGGTAGGCTCATCCTCTCGGCCTGGTAATGATCTTGTGGGCCGAAGCCCACGTACCTCCCTGTCATGGTGGAGACGCTCACTAGGGTTTGTGGGCCTAAGTCCACTCTCATCCCTAGCTCTCTTCTGCAAGTGCCTCTCACAAGAAACCGCGGGCCGAAGCCCAAATCCTTCCTCTCACTCTCTTCTCCGGTCCAAGCCGCCGCTCCGACTCCGTCCTCGGGCGTGCGATTCTGGGAAAGTAAAGGCTCCCCAATATTCTTCTCTGCTGTCAAGAAATCCCGATCGAATTCCTTCCCTCTGTTCGATCGACTTCTTTCCAAAACCTTCTTCTTAGATTGCGTATTTGCTAATAGAGGGTACCGAAGAATCGAATCGCTTTCTCATCACTGCTCCCTCAAAATACTGATATGATTTTCGTGAGCAACCGAGATTCAAGGACTGCGATTAACCTCAACTTTCCTTCTTCCTCTGATGCCTAGAATCCCTACGAAGTAGGCTTAATCGAGCTCCAGCTGTCTTCTCCCCTCGAATTCTGGAAAAAAAAGGAAGGGTAAATCTCCCGTCAGCAGATGCAGCAGAATCATATCGACTGACCTTCTCATTCCAGTCGAGCAGATTCGAACTTCCTCTTCCTGAAAATTTCCATTCGTGCCTCCAATCAGTAGGTATAAACTCGCAATCGGCCATGGGAGTCTTCATCCTAGCATCCTCTTCAAATTTAGCCCCTCCCAAACTCACCATCGACAGCAACAGACCCCACGTTCTGTCGCAGCATGGCTCCGATCAACCCTCTCCTCAATGCCCACCTTGCTCCTGCTGCCATATTTACCAATCGAGGGTTCCGAAACTCGGAGGCCTACTCCAGGTACCTTCGGTGCTTCAGCGATCGAGCCCTCCATCCCTCATTCCTCATTCCCCCTACCTCGTTCAATCGGTATAGACTGAGGGTCAATGGGTATATCAATGATCTTGGGTGGAGTTCTCTGTTCCAGAATCGCCTCCTTGATCAGTGCCCTGAAGCAGTGAGAATGTTCTACTCAAGTATGCAGTGCGGTCCTGGACGTTATCCGTCGTACTTCACCACCACCGTCTACAATTTCAGTGTGACGGTTACTGCTAATATGCTGGCTACTCTGCTGCATCTTCCTCATGATGGGTATCAAGCCAGAACTGCAGCAGACTTTGACAACTATGGGTTCCACCCCATAGACACGATGTCTTACTTGGCTAGCGATTACGGGAGTCACCACTTTCGAGGTTCTCGGTGGAGCGGCTGCCGGATGATCTGAGAGCGCTGCAGTTCTACATCAGTCACGTGTTCCTCCCTCGCACTGCTGACCAGGCCGCCACTCTGGACGAATCTGACCTCTGGATTCTGTTTAATGCGAAGACAAGCTGCCCGATCAGCTATGCCTCGCTGATGTTTAATCATATGATTAAATATCAAGAAGAAGAGTGCAGCGGCAAGCTGCCTTTTGGCCTGCAAATCACCCATCTGTTGGCACTCTTAGGGGTCGATCTGCGTGGGAAAATCATCAACCGGGAGGTTCATTCTGATCTGCAAGCTCAGCATGTCCTGCGTCGCCCTCTCTCGTGGCTTGGACCGCGTAAACTTGCCAAAGTTCAAGGGGGAGACAAAGCTGCCAATTGTGAGTCCAAATCAGAACCAGAAGAAGACGATAATGATGAGGTTAGCTGGTTAAAGGACACGACAGCAGCATACACAGCTGCTGGAATCTCCAGGCTTGACAAGGGAAAGGGAATAGCAGAATCTTCGGGAAAGCGTAAGACGACTGTGACATTGGAGCATATACAGGAAGGGGTAAGGCTGGAAAATGAAGGAAAAAGCCTCCTCCGTGACCTTACCTTGTCACTGAAGGGAAAAGAGGCCAGCTCCTCAGGCAAGAAAGTCAGCAGGGTTTTATTCTTACCTTCGGAGGATGAGGAAGTCGATCCATCTGAGTATGCGTCGTCTCCGGAGTACACCTACTAGGACTGTGTTAGATGCTTGATTTAGGGGGAGATCCATGGATGAATTAATGGTAGTTGAATGGTTTGGGTCGATCATTTAGAGTAGAAGTCGGCTGTTTGCCTTTGAGTCTGTTACGTCATTTGAGTCTTGTTTGGTTGATTTGAGATTAAGTCTTGCTGAGTATTAGTGTTGAATGTGCTTTGATGATTTTGTTTATGAATAAAATGGATTCCCAGTTGTCTTTTTTATCACGTGTCAGTCATTAGTAGTTGGACAGGCTACACCAACAGTTTGTTTAAGTGTGCAGAACCTTGAAGCAGCTTAATATGAACCTTGGACAAGTTTAGGGGGAGAAGCTTGGCCATTAACAAGCTGAGGGGGAGAATGTTAACTGCAGGAGAAGCTTGAAGGCCAAAGCAAAGATTCAAATCACAGCTGGAAAAGAGGTGGCTGCCCAAAAAAAGTTAAGGCAAGTTCTCGGGGCCAAAGGAAGAAAGAATAAGAACTTACCATACATGAAGATCTCAAGGAAATTTGAATTCCCAACAGCTACATTGCATCCTATAAAAGGTGATTTGAAGGAAGAGCAAAACAACCTTTTCAAGAGATCAACATAGCTAGCTATGACAAAAGGGGATTTTGTGAGAGTAGCAAGGTTGATAGGAAAGGGGATTTTCTCAAAGGGTTCGGGGAGAATTGCTTTGAGGGTTAGTGTTGGGGAAACACTGGTTTCGAGTTGCTGGGGAAGCAATTCGGGTTTGAGAAAAGAGTGTTAGATCAATCGGGTAGGGATTGATCAAAGGGTAGATAGTTTGTAACGAAGAACTTCAACGCAAAATCATAGTGAATCGTCGGAGATCGCACAATCATGATTCTCTAACCGTGGAGTAGTCAGTATTGGGATCCTCATTCTCCCAATACCGGAAACCACGTAAAAAATCGTGAGCAGTGTTTGTTTTCTGTTTTTAAGTTTCCAGTCTGTGTCCTTCTGTTTGTTTTCTGTTCCAGGGTTAAGTGAGCAAGGGAGTCGGCTCTCGAGTCCTCAAGGAAGGCTGCGTACCAGGACTGATTTGGGAACTCACTGAACCAGGGTTTGATTTAACTGAGTTGATTATTGGCTGGGTTTTATTGAAGTGTTCTTGCTGTACTTCCCCTGTTCATCTCACGAACAGAAGGAGGATTTAATTTGATCGAAATCCTAGGAGCGGGAAGGGAATTTTAGTGTAGTTGATACTCTGTCGTTTTATGCTCATCATCTTGAAGTGGAGTTGGGACAAGGATTCGCTTGGGCTGGGATTGCTTTTGGGTTCGTTCATTTAATCTGCCTAACCGAAAGCTACTGGGCTTAGAAGCCCAACCGAGTGAAAAGAGAGGTTTTGCATATATTGTGTAGTTGGGCTTAGAATCCTGATCTGCTTTCATTGCTAGGCTTAATTGAGTGGGCTTTGAGTTTTATTAAAGTTAAGTGTAGATTTAAACGAGGGACTTCACTAGGGTGGTTAACTAGTGAGTAGAGTTTAGACCAAGGATTAGCTAGCTGTCACATTAAATTAAATTAATCTTAAGTTAGTCATTTAAATTCAATTGAGTAAAATAATATAATTGAGATCATTTGTGGTTAAGTTGTTGATCCATCGATAATGAAGTCTATTGATCCTATTCTCCACCGATGATAAGTCCATTAAGCACCGATTTGGGCCAATTTATTTTCGGATGGCATTTTCGTAATTTTTTGGGCGAAGAAAGGCAATTTTCCATGGATTTTGAAGGCTACAGATCACGGATTCAGCCTGAGGCTATTCTTCAACGATGGTTAAGTCCATTAAGTGCCGATTTGGGCGAATTTATTCCGGGTCCATTTTTGTCAGATTCCAAAGGGGTACCATCACAGATTTCGGGCGATTTTTCCGAAATGCCATTTTCTTTCTATTCTGGAGGCTGTAGATCACAGAATCATGTCGAGCCTATTCTCCATCGATAATGAAGTCTATTGATCCTATTCTTCATGGATGATAAGTCCATTAAGCACCGATTTGGGCCAATTTATTTTCGGATGGCATTTTCGGAATTTTTTGGGCGAAGAAAGGCAATTTTCCATGGATTTTGAAGGCAACAGATCACGGATTCAGCCTGAGGCTTTTCTTCAACGATGATTAAGTCCATTAAGTGCCGATTTGGGCGAATTTATTCCGGGTCCATTTTTGGCAGATTCCAAAGGGGTACCATCACAGATTTCGGGCGATTTTTCCGAAATGCCATTTTCTTTCTATTCTGGAGGCTGTAGATCACAGAATCATGCCGAGCCTATTCTCCATCGATAATGAAGTCTATTGATCCTATTCTCCACGGATGATAAGTCCATTAAGCACCGATTTGGGCCAATTTATTTTCGGATGGCATTTTCGTAATTTTTTGGGCGAAGAAAGGCAATTTTCCATGGATTTTGAAGGCTACAGATCAGGGATTCAACCTGAGGCTATTCTTCAACGATGATTAAGTCCATTAAGTGCCGATTTGGGCAAATCTATTCCGGGTCCATTTTTGGCAGATTCCAAAGGGGTACCATCATAGATTTCAGGCGATTTTTCCGAAATGCCATTTTCGTTCTATTCTGGAGGCTGTAGATCACAAAATCATGCCGAGCCTATTCTCCATCGATAATGAAGTCAATTGATCCTATTCTCCACGGATTATAAGTCCATTAATCAACGATTTGGGCCAATTTATTTTCGGATGGCATTTTCGTAATTTTTTGGGCTAAGAAAGGCAATTTTCCATGGATTTTGAAGGCTACAGATCACGGATTCAGCCTGAGGCTATTCTTCAACAATGATTTAGTCCATTAAGTGCCGATTTGGGCGAATTTATTCCGGATCCATTTTTAGCAGATTCCAAAGGGGTACCATCACAGATTTCGGGCGATTTTTCCGAAATGCCATTTTCTTTCTATTCTGGAGGCTGTAGATCACAGAATCATGCCGAGCCTATTCTCCATCGATAATGAAGTCTATTGATCCTATTCTCCACGGATGATAAGTCCATTAAGCACCGATTTGGGCCAATTTATTTTCAGATGGCATTTTCGTAATTTTTTGGGCGAAGAAATCAATTTTCCAATGATTTTGAAGGCTACAGATCACGGATTCAGCCTGAGGATATTCTTCACGATGATTAAGTCCATTAAGTGCCGATTTGGGCGAATTTATTCCGGGTCCATTTTTGGCAGATTCCAAAGGGGTACCATCACAGATTTCGGTCGATCTTTCCGAAATGCCATTTTCTTTCTATTCTGGAGGCTGTAGATCACTGAATCATGCCGAGTCTATTCTCCATCGATAATGAAGTCTATTGATCCTATTCTCCACGGATGATAAGTTCATTAAGCACCGATTTGTGCCAATTTATTTTCTGATGGCATTTTCGTAATTTTTTGGGCGAAGAAAGGCAATTTTCCATGGATTTTGAAGGCTACAGATCACGGATTCAGCCTGAGGCTATTCTTCAACGATGATTAAGTCCATTAAGTGCCGATTTGGGCGAATTTATTCCGGGTCCTTTTTTGTCAGATTCCAAAGGGGTACCATTACAGATTTCGGGTGATTTTTCCGAAATGCCATTTTCTTTCTATTCTGGAGGCTATAGATCACAGAATCATGCCGAGCCTATTCTCCATCGATAATGAAGTCTATTGATCCTATTCTCCACGGATGATAAGTCCATTAAGCACCGATTTGGGCCAATTTATTTTCTGATTGCATTTTCGTAATTTTTTGGGCGAAGAAATCAATTTTCCAATGATTTTGAAGGCTACAGATCACGGATTCAGCCTGAGGCTATTCTTCACGATGATTAAGTCCATTAAGTGCCGATTTGGGCGAATTTATTACGGGTCCATTTTTGGCAGATTCCAAAGGGGTACCATCACAGATTTCGGTCGATTTTTCCGAAATGCCATTTCCTTTCTATTCTGGAGCCTGTAGATCACAGAATCATGCCGAGCCTATTCTCCATCGATAATGAAGTCTATTGATCCTATTCTCCACGGATGATAAGTTCATTAAGCACCGATTTGGTCCAATTTATTTTCGGATGGCATTTTCGTAATTTTTTGGGCGAAGAAAGGCAATTTTCCATGGATTTTGAAGGCTACAGATCACGGATTTAGCCTGAGGCTATTCTTCAACGATGATTAAGTCCATTAAGTGCCGATTTGGGCGAATTTATTCCAGGTCCATTTTTGGCAGATTCCAAAGGTGTACCATCACAGATTTCGGGCGATTTTTCCGAAATGCCATTTTCTTTCTATTCTGGAGGCTGTAGATCACAGAATCATGCCGAGCCTATTCTCCATCGATAATGAAGTCTATTGATCCTATTCTCCACGGATGATAAGTCCATTAAGCACTGATTTGGGCCAATTTATTTTCGGATGGCATTTTCGTAATTTTTTGGGCGAAGAAATCAATTTTCCAATGATTTTGAAGGCTACAGATCACGGATTCAGCCTGAGGCTATTCTTCAACGATGATTAAGTCCATTAAGTGCCGATTTGGGCGAATTTATTACGGGTCCATTTTTTGCAGATTCCAAAGAGGTACCATCACAGATTTCGGGCGATTTTTCCGAAATGCCATTTTCTTTCTATTCTATAGGCTGTAGATCACAGAATCATGCCCAGCCTATTCTCCATCGATAATGAAGTCTATTGAACCTATTCTCCATGGATGACAAGTCCCTTAAGCATCGATTTGTGCCAATTTATATTCTGATGGCATTTTCGTAATTTTTTGGGCGAAGAAAGGCAATTTTTCATGGATTTTGAAGGCTACAAATCACGGATTCAGCCTGAGGCTATTCTTCAACGATGATTAAGTCCATTAAGTGCCGATTTGGGCGAATTTATTCTGGGTCCATTTTTGTCAGATTCCAAAGGGGTACCATCACAGTTTTCGGGTGATTTTTCTGAAATGCCAGTTTCTTTCTATTCTGGAGGCTGTAGATCACAAAATCATGCTGAGCCTATTCTCCATCGATAATGAAGTCTATTGATCCTATTCTTCAAGGATGATAAGTCCATTAAGCACCGATTTGGGCCAATTTATTTCCGGATGGCATTTTTGTAATTTTTTGGCCGAAGAAAGGCAATTTTCCATGGATTTTGAAGGCTACAGATCACGGATTCAGCCTGAGGCTCTTCTTCAACGATAATTAAGTCCATTAAGTGTCGATTTGGGCGAATTTATTCCGGGTCCATTTTTGGCAGATTCCAAAGGGGTACCATCACAGATTTCGGGCGATTTTTCCGAAATGCCATTTTCTTTCTATTCTGGAGGCTGTAGATCACAGAATCATGCCGAGCCTATTCTCCATCGATAATGAAGTCTATTGATCCTATTCTCCACGGATGATAAGTCCATTAAGCACCGATTTGGGCCAATTTATTTTCGGATGGCATTTTCGTAATTTTTTGGGCGAAGAAAGGCAATTTTCCATGGATTTTGAAGGCTACAGATCTCAGATTCAACCTGAGGCTATTCTTCAACGATGATTAAGTCCATTAAGTGCCGATTTGGGCAAATCTATTCCGGGTCCATTTTTGGCAGATTCCAAAGGGGTACCATCACAGTTTTCGGGTGATTTTTCCGAAATGCCAGTTTCTTTCTATTCTGGAGGCTGTAGCTCACAAAATCATGCCGAGCCTATTCTCCATCGATAATGAAGTCTATTGATCCTATTCTCCACGGATTATAAGTCCATTAAGCACCGATTTGGGCCAATTTATTTTCGGATGGCATTTTCGTAATTTTTTGGGCGAAGAAAGGCAATTTTCCATGGATTTTGAAGGCTACAGATCACGGATTCACCCTGAGGCTATTCTTCAACGATGATTAAGTCCATTAAATGCCGATTTGGGCGAATTTATTCCGGGTCCATTTTTGGCAGATTCCAAAGGTGTACCATCACAGATTTCGGGCGATTTTTCCGAAATGCCATTTTCTTTCTATTCTGGAGGTTGTAGATCACAGAATCATGCCGAGCCTATTCTCCATCGATAATGAAGTCTATTGATCCTATTCTCCACGGATGATAAGTCCATTAAGCACCGATTTGGGCCAATTTATTTTCAGATGGCATTTTCGTAATTTTTTGGGCGAAGAAATCAATTTTCCAATGATTTTGAAGGCTACAGATCACGGATTCAGCCTGAGGATATTCTTCACGATGATTAAGTCCATTAAGTGCCGATTTGAGCGAATTTATTCCGAGTCCATTTTTGGCAGATTCCAAAGGGGTACCATCACAGATTTCGGTCGATTTTTCCGAAATGCCATTTTCTTTCTATTCTGGAGGCTGTAGATCACTGAATCATGCCGAGTCTATTCTCCATCGATAATGAAGTCTATTGATCCTATTCTCCACGGATGATAAGTTCATTAAGCACCGATTTGTGCCAATTTATTTTCTGATGGCATTTTCGTAATTTTTTGGGCGAAGAAAGGCAATTTTCCATGGATTTTGAAGGCTACAGATCACGGATTCAGCCTGAGGCTATTCTTCAACGATGATTAAGTCCATTAAGTGCCGATTTGGGCGAATTTATTCCGGGTCCATTTTTGGCAGATTTCAAAGGGGTACCATCACAGATTTCGGGCGATTTTTCCGAAATGCCATTTTCTTTCTATTCTGGAGGTTGTAGATCACATAATCATGCCGAGCCTATTCTCCATCGATAATGAAGTCTATTGATCCTATTCTTCACGGATGATAAGTCCATTAAGCATCGATTTGGGCCAATTTATTTTCGGATGGCATTTTCGTAATTTTTTGAGCAAAGAAAGGAAAATTTCCATGGATTTTGAAGGCTACAGATCACGGATTCAGCCTGAGGCTATTCTTCAACGATGATTAAGTCCATTAAATGCCGATTTGGGCGTATTTATTCCGGGTCCATTTTTGGCAGATTCCAAAGGGGTACCATCACAGATTTCGGGCGATTTTTCCGAAAAGCCATTTTCTTTCTATTTTGGAGGCTGTAGATCACAGAATCATGCCGAGCCTATTCTCCATCGATAATGAAGTCTAATGATCCTATTCTCCACGGATGATAAGTCCATTAAGCACCGATTTGGGCCAATTTATTTCCGGATGGCATTTTCGTAATTTTTTGGGCGAAGAAAGGCAATTTTCCATGGATTTTGAAGGCTACAGATCACGGATTCAGCCTGAGGCTATTCTTCAACGATGATTAAGTCCATTAAATGCCGATTTGGGCGAATTTATTCCGGGTCCATTTTTGGCAGATTCCAAAGGGGAATCATCGTAGATTTCGGACGATTTTTCCGAAATGCCATTTTCTTTCTATTCTTGAGGCTCTAGATCACAGAATCATGCCGATCCTATTCTCCATCGATAATGAAGTCTATTGATCCTATTCTCCACGGATGATAAGTCCATTAAGCACCGATTTGTGCCAATTTATATTCTGATGGCATTTTCGTAAGTTTGTGGTCGAAGAAAGGCAATTTTCCATGGATTTTGAAGGCTACAGATCACGGATTCAGCCTGAGGCTATTCTTCAACGATGATTAAGTCCATTAAGTGCCGAATTGGGCGAATTTATTCAGGGTCCATTTTTGGCAGATTCCAAAGGGGTATCATCACAGAATTCGGGCGATTATTCCGAAATGCCATTTTCTTTCTATTCTGGAGGCTGTAGATCACAGATTCATGCCGAGCCTATACTCCATCGATAATGAAGTCTATTGATCCTATTCTCCACGGATGATAAGTTCATTAAGCACCGATTTGGTCCAATTTATTTTCGGATGGCATTTTCGTAATTTTTTGGGCGAAGAAAGGAAAATTTCCATGGATTTTGAAGGCTACAGATCACGGATTCAGCCTGAGGCTATTCTTCAACGATGATTAAGTCCATTAAATGCCGATTTGGGCGTATTTATTCCGGGTCCATTTTTGGCAGATTCCAAAGGGGTACCATCACAGATTTCGGGCGATTTTTCCGAAAAGCCATTTTCTTTCTATTTTGGAGGCTGTAGATCACAGAATCATGCCGAGCCTATTCTCCATCGATAATGAAGTCTAATGATCCTATTCTCCACGGATGATAAGTCCATTAAGCACCGATTTGGGCCAATTTATTTCCGGATGGCATTTTCGTAATTTTTTGGGCGAAGAAAGGCAATTTTCCATGGATTTTGAAGGCTACAGATCACGGATTCAGCCTGAGGCTCTTCTTCAACGATAATTAAGTCCATTAAGTGTCGATTTGGGCGAATCTATTCCGGGTCCATTTTTGGCAGATTCCAAAGGTGTACCATCACAGATTTCGGGCGATTTTTCCGAAATGCCATTTTCTTTCTATTCTGGAGGCTGTAGATCACAGAATCATGCCGAGCCTATTCTCCATCGATAATGAAGTCTATTGATCCTATTCTCCACGGATGATAAGTCCATTAAGCACTGATTTGGGCCAATTTATTTTCGGATGGCATTTTCGTAATTTTTTGGGCGAAGAAATCAATTTTCCAATGATTTTGAAGGCTACAGATCACGGATTCAGCCTGAGGCTATTCTTCAACGATGATTAAGTCCATTAAGTGCCGATTTGGGCGAATTTATTACGGGTCCATTTTTTGCAGATTCCAAAGAGGTACCATCACAGATTTCGGGCGATTTTTCCGAAATGCCATTTTCTTTCTATTCTATAGGCTGTAGATCACAGAATCATGCCCAGCCTATTCTCCATCGATAATGAAGTCTATTGAACCTATTCTCCATGGATGACAAGTCCCTTAAGCATCGATTTGTGCCAATTTATTTTCTGATGGCATTTTCGTAATTTTTTGGGCGAAGAAAGGCAATTTTTCATGGATTTTGAAGGCTACAAATCACGGATTCAGCCTGAGGCTATTCTTCAACGATGATTAAGTCCATTAAGTGCCGATTTGGGCGAATTTATTCTGGGTCCATTTTTGTCAGATTCCAAAGGGGTACCATCACAGTTTTCGGGTGATTTTTCTGAAATGCCAGTTTCTTTCTATTCTGGAGGCTGTAGATCACAAAATCATGCTGAGCCTATTCTCCATCGATAATGAAGTCTATTGATCCTATTCTTCACGGATGATAAGTCCATTAAGCACCGATTTGGGCCAATTTATTTTCGGATGGCATTTTCGTAATTTTTTGGGCGAAGAAAGGCAATTTTCCATGGATTTTGAAGGCTACAGATCACGGATTCAGCCTGAGGCTATTCTTCAACGATGATTAAGTCCATTAAGTGCCGATTTGGGCGAATTTATTCCGGGTCCATTTTTGGCAGATTCCAAAGGGGAATCATCGTAGATTTCGGACGATTTTTCCGAAATGCCATTTTCTTTCTATTCTTGAGGCTCTAGATCACAGAATCATGCCGATCCTATTCTCCATCGATAATGAAGTCTATTGATCCTATTCTCCACGGATGATAAGTCCATTAAGCACCGATTTGTGCCAATTTATATTCTGATGGCATTTTCGTAAGTTTGTGGGCGAAGAAAGGCAATTTTCCATGGATTTTGAAGGCTACAGATCACGGATTCAGCCTGAGGCTATTCTTCAACGATGATTAAGTCCATTAAGTGCCGAATTGGGCGAATTTATTCAGGGTCCATTTTTGGCAGATTCCAAAGGGGTATCATCACAGAATTCGGGCGATTATTCCGAAATGCCATTTTCTTTCTATTCTGGAGGCTGTAGATCACAGATTCATGCCGAGCCTATACTCCATCGATAATGAAGTCTATTGATCCTATTCTCCACGGATGATAAGTCTTTTAAGCACCGATTTGGGCCAATTTATTTTCGGATGGCATTTTCTTAATTTTTTGGGCGAAGAAAGGCAATTTTCCATGGATTTTGAAGGCTACAGATCATGGATTTAGCCTGAGGCTATTCTTCAACGATAATTAAGTCCATTAAGTGTCGATTTGGGCGAATCTATTCCGGGTCCATTTTTGGCAGATTCCAAAGGTGTACCATCACAGATTTCGGGCGATTTTTCCGAAATGCCATTTTCTTTCTATTCTGGAGGCTGTAGATCACAGAATCATGCCGAGCCTATTCTCCATCGATAATGAAGTCTATTGATCCTATTCTCCACGGATGATAAGTCCATTAAGCACTGATTTGGGCCAATTTATTTTCGGATGGCATTTTCGTAATTTTTTGGGCGAAGAAATCAATTTTCCAATGATTTTGAAGGCTACAGATTACGGATTCGGGCTGAGGCTATTTTTCAACGATGATTAAGTCCATTAAGTGCCGATTTGGGCGAATTTATTCCGGGTCCATTTTTGGCAAATTCCAAAGGGGTACGATCACAGATTTCGTGTGATTTTTCCGAAATGCCATTTTCTTTCGATTCTGGAGGCTACAGATCACGGAATCAAGCCGAGCCTATTCTCCACCGATAATGAATTCTATTGATCCTATTCTCCACGGATGAGAAGTCCATTAAGCACCAATTAGGGCCAATTTATTTTCGATTGACATTTTCGTAATTGTATGGGAGAACAAAGGCAATTTTCCATGGATTTTGAAGGCTACAGATCACGGATCCGGCCTGAGTCTATTCTTCAACGATGATCAAGTCCATTAAGTGCCGATTTGGGAGAATTTATTCCGAGTCCATTTTTGGCAGATTCCAAAGGGGTACTATCACAGATTCCGGGCGATTTTTCGAAATGCCATTTTCTTTCTATTATGGAGGCTGTAGATCACGGAATCAGGCCGAGCCTATTCTCCATTGATAATGGATTCTATTGATCATATTCTCCACGGATGATAAGTCCATTAAGCATCGATTTGAGCCGATTTATTTTCGGATGGAATTTTCGTAATTTTTGGGCGACTAAAGGCCATTTGTTACACCCCGATCTTTCTAAGGGTCAAAATGACTATTTTACCCTTGGTTAAATTCATCAAGTTTTATCGTAATATCGAGGAGGACTAAAAATGCGAACTCTCGGTTCAAACGGTGTCGAGTTTCGATATAAATCGAATAAGTTACGGATGTTAGTTGAGTTACGGATTAAACTCACCCGTAATTTGTGAAATTCCCCGAGTCAGATAAAATCCAACCCTAACCTCATGCTCCACTGAAGGTGATAAAACCTAAAACCCTAAGCAGCCTTTTAGTCTTCACCACCAAACAGTTTCCCGGACCTGGGATGACAACCGGCGCAGCTCTCCCTATTATGAGAGGCGTGTGCTTAAGCAAGGTGGAGGGCAATTATCCAGGACAAACGAAAGCGGCGCTATTCAGGACAAAGGAAAGCGGGCCATCGAGAGCTGCTCGTCCGAGGCGGTGGGATATTGGGGAAATCAACCAGGCGGTATCGTCCGAGCGGGATCTGTTCTCCGAGAGCAAGGCCGCCGTTGGTGCACCGATCTCGTCAAAGGGGGCTCTGCCTGCAAAGTGACCCTCTCTACCACGAGAGCTACTTGCTTAAGCAAGTTCGTCCCGCAGGTTTGGGAAGGAAAAAGCGAAAGCAATCATGAGACGGCATGCTCTCGGGAGGCCAACGGAGGATCTCCTGAGGACCTGTTTGCGGCGGGGAAACAGCCAACCCGGCCTAACCAGAAGATTAAGAATACTCTCCCTACTACGAGAGGTGCTAGCTTATGAAAGCAAGTAGGACCATTATGCAGGCAAGCAGGACATCGATAGGAGGCGGCCATGATTAAGCAGGCAGGGAATTATTAAGCAGGCAGGAGCTGAGCCAAATTAGGGCAAAAGCACATAATCAAGCCAGTTCCAACGGAAGTAAGGTGAGTGTAAAGGGGGTAAATTCTACGCCTTACGTACTCTTTTAAGTTTGACAAGCCTTAAGTATTTGTTGAAGTGATTGTTATTGCTTGATTGTGCTTATGGTTGATGATATGTGATTTTGTTTGAGCCATGTTTGATGTGATTGTCCATGAGTTTTATTTAAATTTAAGCTTTGAGTTTATAAGTTATTGTTGAAGTTAAGAAGCAAGTCCTTTTTAAGAAGTAACTCACCTTCAAGAAGGTGAAGTCGTTTTAAGTGTTTTTAGTCACTAGCGCCAGTCCGTTACCATTTGAGATTTCCAGATAGAGCAGCAGTTATGCTCTTGAGATCTTTGAGACAGAGCAGCAGTTATGCTCTTGAGACTTTTAAGATGGGCAGCAGTTATGCCCTTGAGAATCGTGGTGAAGAGCCACCACGATAAGTTTAAGATGTTAGGGGGATGAATCGTTACGACTTCCCTAACTAAGTTTAAGTTTAAGGAAAGCCTTGATGGCTTCTCATACGTATGAGTTGGCAACCGGACTAGCTAGTGAGGGATCCCCGTGTCAGTCAAGTATTTAAGTCGAGATTTGAGCTTTAAGAATTCAGTTTTAAGAGTTAAGCTTTTTAATAGTGGAAGCACAAAATAACTTCCACTCAGTTAAGTAAAGTGATCAAGTATTAATAAGATGTTAAACGTAAGGGCGTAGACTGACCCCATCTCACTCACCAGTTTGAGGAGCTAGAGGAGCAGTTAGTGAGCAGCAAGTTCGAGGGCAGCCAGCTAGAGGAGAGCAGTATAAGTGTCACGGAGGATGCTCAGTCAAAGATTTCAGTAGCAACAACTTCAGAGATTATTAGTTATATACATTTATGATTATGAGTACAGACTGGAGATTATTTTGAGATCAGTTTGAGATTTTAAAGTTTGAGTTTAATTTGCCCACGTGTTAGGGCTTTGCTCTGAGCTACAAGTGTGTGTTTTCAGTATTTTATTTATTAAAATTTTTCCCAGTCGCCATTTAAGATTTAAGTATTTTAGTTATCAAGGGCATTTTAGTAAAAGTAGTACCCGGCCGGGTTAGGGTGTTACACCATTTTCTTTGGATTTTGAAGGCTACAAATCACGGATTCGGCGTGAGGCTATTCTTCAACGATGATTAAGTCCATTAGGCACCAATTTGGGAGAATTTATTCCAGGTCAATTTTTTGGAGATTCCAAAGGAGTACAATCACATATTTCGGTCAATTTTTACGAAATGCCATTTTCTTTCGATTTTTGAGGCTGCATATCACGAAATCAGGCCGCGCCTTTTCTTCACCGATAATGAAGTCTATTGATCCTATTCTCCATGGATGATAAGTCCATTCAGCACCGATTTGAGCCGATTTATTTTCGTATGGCATTTTCGTAATTTTTTGGGTGACGAGAGGCCATTTTTTTGGATTTTGAAGGCTTCAGATCACGGATTCAGGCTCAGGCTATTCTTCAACGATGATTAAGTCCATTAAGCGCCAATTTGGGAGAATTTATTCCGGGCCCATTTTTGGCAGATTCCAAAGGGGTACCATAACAGATTTCGGGCGATTTTTCCGAAATGTCATTTTCTTTCGATTCTAGAGGCTGCAGATCACGAAATTAGGCCGCGCTTATTCTCCACCGATAATGAAGTCTATTGATCCTATTCTCCACGGATGATAAGTCCATTCAGCACCGATTTGGCCCAATTTATTTTCGAATGGCATTTTCGTAATTTTTTGTGCGAGGAAAAGCCATTTTCTTTGGATTTTGAAGGCTACAGATCACGGATTCGGCCTGAGGCTATTCTTCAATGATGAATACGTCTATTAAGCGCCGATTTGGGCGAATTTATTCGCGGTCCATTTTTGGCAGATTTCAAAGGGGTACCATCACAGATTTCGGGCGATTTTTCCGAAATGCCATTTTCTTTCGATTGTGGAGGCTGCAGATCACGGAATCAAGCCGAGCCTATTCTCCACGGATGATAAGTCCATTAAGCACCGATATGGGCCAATTTATTTTGCGATGGCATTTTCGTAATTTTTTGGGCGACGAAAGGTCATTTTCTTTTGATTTTGAAGGCTACAGATCATGGATTCGCCCTGAGGCTATTCTTCAACGATGATTAAGTCCATTAAGCGCCGACTGGGGAGAATTTCTTCCGGGACCATTTTTGCAGATTCCAAAGGCGTACAATCACAGATTTCGGGCGATTTTTACGAAATGCCATTTCTTTCTATTCTGGAGGCTGCAGATCACGGAATCAAGCCGAGCCTATTCTCCATTGATAATGAAGTCTATTGATCCTATTCTCCACGGATGATAAGTCCATTAAGCACCGATTTGAGCCAATTTATTTTCGGATGGCAATTTCATAATTTTTGAGCGACGAAAGGCCATTTTCTTTGGATATTGAAGGCTACAGATCACGGATTCGGCCTGAGGCTATTCTTCAATGATGAATACGTCCATTAAGCGCCGATTTGGGCGAATTTATTCTGGGTCCATTTTTGGCAGATTCCAAAGGGGTACCATCACAGATTTCAGGCGATTTTTACGAAATGACATCTTCTTTCGATTGTGGAGGCTGCAGATCACGAAATCAGGCCGAGCCTATTCTCCACCGATAATGAAGTCTATTGATCCTATTCTCCACGGATGATAAGTCCATTCAGCACCAATTTGCCCCAATTTATTTCCGAATGGAATTTTTCGTCATTTTTTGTGCGACGAAAGGTCATTTTCTTTGGATTTTGAAGGCCACAGATCATGGATTCGGCCTGAGGCTATTCTTCAACGATGATTAAGTCCATTGAGCACCGATTTGGGCAAATTTATTCCGGGTCAATTTTTGTCAGATTCCAAAGGGGTACAATCACATATTTCCGGCGATTTTTACGAAATGCAATTTTCTTTCTATTCTGGAGGTTGCACATCACGGAATCAGGCCGAGCCTAATCTCCTCTGATAATGAAGTCTATTGATCCTATTCTCCACGGATGATAAGTCTATTAAGCACCGATTTGGGCCAATAAATTTTCTGATGGCATTTTTGTAATTTTTTGGGCAACGAAAGGGCATTTTCTTTTGATTTTGAAGGCTACAAATCACGGATTCGCCCTGAGGCTATTCTTCAACGATGATTAAGTCCATTAAGCGCTGATTTCGGTGAATTTATTCCGGGCGCATTTTTGGCAGATTCCAAAGGTGTGAGTCTCCAAACTGGAATGTCCTCTCCTAGCTCATGAGGAGGCGGGTGAAGGAGGATCTGCGAAACCAGCTCCTACCATCACAGATTTCAGGAGATTTTTCGGAAATGCCATTTTCTTTCGATTCTGGAGGCTGCATATCACGTAATCAGGACGAGCCTATTCTCCACCGATAATGAAGTCTATAGATCCTATTCTCCACGGATGATAAGTCCATTAAGCACCGATTTGGGCCAATTTATTTTCAGATGACATTTTTGTAATTTTTTGGTCGACGAAAGGCCATTTTCTTTGGATTTTGAAGGCTAGGATCACGGATTTGGCCTGAGGCTATACTCCAACGATGATTAAGTCCATTCAGCGCCGATTTGGGCGAATCTATTCCGGGCCCATTTTTGGCAGATTCCAAAGGGGTACCATCACAGATTTCAGGCGATTTTTCCGAAATGTCATTTTCTGCGATTCTGGAGGCTGCAGATCACGAAATCGGGCCAAGCCTATTCTCCATCAATAATGAAGTCTATTGATCCTATTCTCCACGGATGATAAGTCCATTCAGCACCGATTTGGCCCAATTTATTATCGGATTGCATTTTTGTAATTTTTTGTGCGACGAAAGGCCATTTTCTTTGGATTTTGAAGGCTACAGATCACGGATTCAGCCTGAGGCTATTCTTCAACGATGAATACGTCCATTAAGCGCCGATTTGGGTGAATTTATTCCGGGTCCATTTTTGGCAGGTTCCAAAGGTGTACCATCACAGATTTCAGACGATTTTCTGAAATGAGATTTTCTTTCGATTGAGGAGGCTGCTGATCACGGAATTAGGCCGAGCATATTCTCCACCGATAATGAAGTCTATTTATCCTATTCTCCACGGATGATAAGTCCATTAAGCACCGATTTGGGCCATTTATTTTCCGATGGCATTTTCGTAATTTTTTGGGCGACGAAAGGCCATTTTCTTTGGATTTTGAAGGCTACAGATCATGTATTCGGCCTGAGGCTAATCTTCAACGATGATTAAGTCCATTAAGAGTCGATTTGGGCGAATTTATTCCGTGTCCATTTTTTGCAGATTCCAAAGGTGTACCATCACAGATTTCAGGCAATTTTTCGAAATGCCATTTTCTTTCGATTTTGAAGGTTACATATCACGGAATCAGGCCGTGCCTATTCTCCACCGATAATGAAGTCTAATTATCCTATTCTCCACGGATGATAAGTCCATTAAGCACCAATTTATTTTCTGATGGCATTTTCGTAATTTTTTGGGCGACGAAAGGCCATTTTCTTTGGATTTTTAAGGCTACAGATCACGGATTCGGCCTGAGGCTATTCTTCAATGATGATTAGACCATTAAGAGCCAATTTGGGTGAATTTATTTCAGGACCATTTTTAGAAGATTCCAATGGGGTACCATCACAGATTTCGGGAGATTTTTCCGAAATGCCATTTTCTTTTGATTCTGGAGACTGCAGATCACGGAATCAGGCCGAGCCTATTCTCCACCAATAATGAAGTCTATTGATTCTATTCTCCACGGATGATAAGTCCATTAAGCACCGATTTGGGCCAGTTTATTTTCGGATGGCATTTCGTTAATTTTTGGGCGACAAAAAGCTATTTTCTTTGGATTTTGAAGGCTACAGATCACGGATTCGTCCTAAAGCTATTCTTCAACGATGATTACGTCCATTAAGCGCCGATTTGGGCAAATTTATTCCTGGTCCATTTTGGGCAGATTCCAAAGGGGTACCATCATAGATTTCGGGCGATTTTTCCGAAATGTCCTTTTTCTTTTGATTCTGGAGGGTGAAGATCACGGGATCAGGCCGAGGCTATTCTCCACCGATAATGAAGTCTATTGATCCTATTCTCCTCGAATGATAAGTCCATTAAGCACCAATTTTGGCCAATTTATTTTCGGATGACATTTTTGTATTTTTTTGGGCGACGAAAGGCCATTTACTTTGGATTTGGAAGTCTACAGGTCACGGATTCGACCTGAGTCTATTCTTCAACGATGATTCAGTCCATTAAGCGCTGATTTGAGCGAATTTATTCTGGGTACATTTTTGGCAGATTCCAAAGAAGTACCATCACAGATTTCGGGCGATTTTTCCGAAATTACATTTTCTTTCAATTTTGGATGCTGCAGATCACGGAATTAGGCAGAAGCTATTCTCCACCGATAATGAAGACTATTGAATCCTATTCTCCATGGATGATAAGTCCATTAAGCATCCATTTGGGCCCAATTATTTTCGGATGGCAATTTTGTAATTTTTTGGGTGAGGAAAGGCCATTTTCTTTGGATTTTGAAGGCTACAGATCATGGATAGTGGCCCAAAAAACTACGAAAATGCCATCCGAAAATAAATTGGCCCAAATTGGTGCTTAATGGACGTATCATCCGTGTAGAATAGGATCAATAGACTTTATTATCGGTGGAGAACAGCCTCGGCCCGATTTCGTGATCTGCAGCCTCTAGAATCGAAACAAAATGGCATTTCGGGAAAATCGACCAAAATGTGAGATGGTACCCCTTTGTAATCTGCAAAAATTTACCCGTAATAAATCTGCCCAAATTAGTGCTTAATGGACTTAATCATTGTTGTAGAGTAGCCTTAGGCTGAATTCGTCATCTGTAGCCTCCAGAATGAAAAGAAAATGACATTTCGGTAAAATCACCCAAAATCGATGATGGTACCCATTTGGAATCTGCCAAAAATGACCAGTAATAAATCCGCCAAATCGGTGCTTAATGAACTTAATCATCATTGAAGAATAGCCTATGGTCGAATTCGTGATCTATATCTTTCAAAAATTAACGAAAATGGCATTTCGATGCCCAAAAATTAGGAAAATGCCATCCGAAAATAAATTTTCCCAAATCAGTGCTTAATAGACTTATCATACGTGAAGAATATGATCAATAGACTTCATTATCGGTGGAGAATAGCCTCGACTTGATTCGGTGATCTGTAGCTTCCAGAATCGAATGAAAATGACATTTCGAAAAAAATCGCCCAAAATATGTGATGGTACCCCTTTGGAATCTACAAAAAAATTGACTCGGAATAAATCCGCCCAAATCAGTGCTTAATGGA